CAAATCTCATTCAAGTTATCATTTAATGATAACTTTTAATATTTTAGACTCCCATTTACCAAAGGAAAAGTTTTAATAACAAGCAAACAATTCTCAGGAAGTTGCTGGTTTTCTTTATCTCGGTAACAGTCGAAGTTTCGAAAATGTCTACCACAAAGCGTAAAATTTAACCATCAAATCTTATAGTTGCAGTATAAGTTATTTTCTACAGCATGGTATGCTAAGTGTACCGCAAAAATGTACAAAAAAGTTTAGCACATCAGTGCAGGAAGACAGGAAATTGCAAAATATGCCTTCATATTTTGCTAATGGAATTTTGTTTGTATTAGATATAATTTATAGCAAATTAGGTATAACATGCCGAAATGTATAACAAAGGAATTTGACAGCTTCCGCTTTAAGAGATGAAACCAATAAACTACGCACCGCACTCTCGAATTCCAAATTAAAGATAAACGTAAACAAATCTATAATGCAGTCAAATATCAACAAACATGCATTAAATGTACGTTAACAACAATTTAGTTCAATTGCGGCCCATTCATTCGTGATTAATGCCTAGTCGGCTTGAGTCAGTTGCAGTGCTAATTCTTTTTCAGCGATGGAAGTCAAAGTGAAAAGAAGTCGGTATTTTCTAAAAGCTCTTTTGCGAGGTGAAGCAATAGCAGAAACATGCGAATGAGATAATTCCGGATCAGTGGGAATGCATAAACAAACAAATTATTTATAAGAATTTTAGTAGCGTAGTTACATTTTAGAACGTTATATGAATTGTAAGGAGATGCCCCAAATAAAGGATAGAGACGGCTGCAGACGCGTAAGCTCGCCATTAAGGCGAAGTGGCAAGTTTTGTGCTCGGCTCATGGGCGATTCATCGACGCTTCTCGTTAGGGCGCACGCTTGAATGCCGCCTTACCACTTCTCATTATTGCGTTTATAAAAGCCCCTATAGAGAACACTGATTTACTAAGACGCGCTCCGTTGCCGTGAAAGAGAAAATGGAATTGTGTAGACGTTTTGTTCACTGAAGTTCTTTTTTCATTCTTTCCGCTATAACCGGAGTGTATCTGGTGAAAGATATTTTGTGGCAGCACTTAGTATTGTGAGCATAATGATGCGACGTCTCTATGGGTTCGTTAACTGACACCTACTCAAAGTTAATAAAACTAGTACGATGACCTAAAATAGGCTTAGCCAGACTTTTATATTTTAATGAAGTCTTTATTGTGATTTGGGTTTGCTATTGCGCCTACGGTTGCTATGTTCATTTAATTATTATTTCTGAATTTTGTCACTTACAAAGTAAAACTGCAGTTTCTCCATTTTTACATTTATTTTATGTTTAAATGGACTATTTGCATTAATATCGAATGATTTTTAAACTAAGTATGAACACCCATTAAGAGTTACAGTCCCTTCTATAAGGTACAAGAGCTTTGAAAACTAAGTTACTGTCAGCAATTAATAAATCTGTTTTCATTAATAGCGTCAGGCGAGCTCTCTAATCTGGGTTTGATTGAAAATCAATAGAGACGCGCACTATCGGCAGGTGTGCTCGGAAATATTAAAATTTGTTAGCTGCAGCGAGCTAATCACTAAAGCGTTTATTTAGAGCTCATTCAATTAAAATTGTTTCGAAACTTCGCAACATTAAATGATATGGTTTGTTTGTGCCTATTCTACTCAATGTCTTCCGCCAATTCAGAAACTATTTTCGCAAATTTAAAGTTCTTAGTAGTTTACGTACAATTTTTTATATTACAGTTTTTCACTTCCTCAGCGTAAAAACTTGTTTGTTTTGTGTTGCATTTTGCAATGGCATTATCGCTAGCGGCTCCGTTCGGTTTTTGCGCTCCCGGCAACTAGTGGGACAGACTTGGGGCGGCCAAGTTTTCTCATTATGCCCGTTAGTGCCCGCCGCCACTCAGACTATTACTTACGACCATCAAACCGGAGCACGTACGCACTTGTATGAACGAGCGTTGCAGTCTTCCAACTTCTCAAATGAAAGGAACGAACGTGAGACGCCGCTCACCGTATGCTCTACAAAGTGTTCTATTTCAATACGCCGAGTGTAAAAGTTTTCGGCTTAGGTCTGAGACTATTTTAAAAACGGCAGCGCACGACTTAAGCAACTCATAAAAATGGAGAGGGCTCGGATATTTTCTTGGGGAGAGCGCGAGAAGCGGTTAGCCGACTTTTACACTGGTTTTATTGTCTCGACGCCCCTCGTAAACCTTCCTTTGTGCAGTAACGTCTCAAGTTGTATTAACACCGTGATAAGTTTAGTGGGAGCCGCTCGTTCCACCGGGACGATTACCTCGCTCACAATTAGGCTGATCTAAGCGGATAGTTTTGATAGTAATTTAAATGGTCACGATGACATTCACTGTTATTAATGCATAAGGAGTTTAGGGACACCCTTCGATATTGAATTTGCTGAATGCGGAAGCTGTAGGAAGTTCAATAGTAAAGTTACGAGCATCCCTCTCTGCTTACGGAGTAAACGCTGTTTCGATGTTATGGTATAATTAGGAAGGTCGCCAGTTCTGCCCGGGTCCAATGTCTCCCTTACTATCTTACAAAAGCTGTATTGGGGTGAATAATCTTTAAATGTGAAACTAATACACACGAATGTATCTAATATGTAAATGAGCACAAAGGGAAACTTAGATTTAGTGAGTAACTTGAAACTCGTGTAGAAATAACAGGTACCTATTTAAAATATGAACTTTTTAGTATTCAATTATTCCATATTGCACGATAAGATAACAAGAGTGAAACAGTCTCTTACTTATTGAAATCCCCTTGTCATTGTTCTTGCAATCTAACTTTCCAATAAGAATTTAATTTCCATTTGTAGAGCGGCGACGTCAAATCCAAAAACAAACAAAAAATTCTAAACATACTCAATTTATAAAAGGAAAATGAGCCGGCTGTTCATTTCTTAGGAAAGAGACTATGTTGATTTCGGACGATACAAATTTTCCAACGAATTTAGCGGTTTCAACCGATGACGGTGGTAATGGAAAAGTTCAATAGGCAACAACAAAGGCCGATACAAGTTAACGAAGCTCACGAAAGCGAAATTCACGATGTGAGCGCACTCTGGCGGACAGGAAATTAAAAGACAAAAGAATGCTGGTCGGGGCAGTTTACGTTCGGAAATGGAGGGCGCACCTCTCCCTAGCGCTTCTTTCCAACAAAACCGACACTTTTGTGTGAATGCCAAATTACTACAGCTGACGTATCATAACAGCTATTGGAGCGTCGAATCTACTTTTCCTTAGTTATTTTCAAGTCAGTCAAGTTAAATGCGCTATTGCCGTTATTTGCATTGAAAATGCTCATTGCTACTACTAGGAACTTAGAATGTTACGTGTATACTCCTCCTAAAGGCAATTTTAATCAAGTTTAATCATGTTATAAATGACAACTGGCAATCTTTTCAGTTCACGTGATCTTGAATACATTTTGGAACGTAACATAATTAATCCTACCTAATACGGGGATCTGTGCTGTGTATCGAATGTACGCACGTATGGTTTCTGTAATTCAGGCAGGCTGGAGTAATCCATTCACATTGGATGTTATCAGGTTTCCTGGGGAGGATAAAGGTCGTCTTCTCACGTTTTCTACGGTAAAAGTCACACCAGACTGGAAACTTGTAATAGGGTGGAAAAATTACTGGGACCGCTGCTTACTACGTCTTGCTTAGAGTTCAGCAATGTGGCTGATTTACATGAAGTTTGAGGAGTTTTGGGCGGTTATCCATATTAATAGAGTGCTTATGGAATTAAGCTGTGCTTGTTTAACATTTGGCATAATACAACAATAACCGACAAAGCGGCGGAACAGGCTCGACACTCACAACTTTGTTCTCTAATTTAATTTGCATTCAGAATCAAAAACTTTCCGTGACACTGTTTTGCATTATTAATACTTTAGCATGGTGTGATCTCCCGGGAGGCGCACTAGAAGCCATAAATTGAATTCCAACCTTCGCAATTAGTTATTCTCGCGCGTGAAAACTTTCGAGATCGTTCGCCTTCGTTAACAGATGTTACGGTGCTATTCATTATACATTCCGTCGATTGTAAAGCCGAACATTTAATTTAAAGTACCGAAAGCTCCTTTGTTAAACCGTCGAACACTTTGGAGGTATTGTGAAGGAATCGCTCGGGCGGCGCAGGATTAGCGGGTCGGATACTGGCTGCTAGTTCCCGGTTACGGAGAACATTTGTCTTGTGGAAATCGTGGGCTATAAATAAAAGTAGGCAATATCCTTTTACGAGAACAGAGTGTTTCTGCGCGGCTGGTGACGGCAGCGACATGTGGCTGCCGAGGACGCATTAACCCTCGCACCACGCGTCTGTGCAACGACCGCAAGCGGTCGCTCGGAAATATGACAAGCAATTGTACCATAATGGTGCCTTGAATAACAAATTAAGGCAAATAATATCCACTTTGAAACGTGCAATGTGCCCAGTGAAACTTACGTCGTTCTATGCGATGCGACGGTTCCAAAAGACAATAAAAAAGTTTTTGTGGCGTAGCCACCGCTCTGACATCGCGGCACGTCTCTTATCGGACTAATTTGGATCAAACAATTCCATTCCCCCTCATACAAATTGCGGAGAAGCACATTTGTTATCTGCTGTTTTTGGCAGAAATTATATTAAGATTTGGTAGAGCGATAATGTTGTGTTATTTTTACTTGCCTTCTCTCTGTCTAGAGCGATGTACCCATGGGGAGCGCCCGGATTTTATGATAACAATAAATAACACAAAAATAAACTAGATCTCATCTATGGGGATGAGATTGCCTTTTAAGGAAATAAAACCTTTGTCTTTACGATGATAGTGTACACCATAGCCTTATTTACTTACTATACTTATTTTTGGGTTTAACGATGGAAGTACAGAGACAATATTAGTAGTACTTTAAGTAGGCAAAAAATACGTGTCAACTATTAATAAAACAATTTCTTTCATTGCAGATACTTGGTGGCGTATACATGAGATGTTATGGGCTCACTTGGCGTAGCAAAGTGGCGTTGCTGGGTGGTGATAGTGGCATGGGCGTGCGGCGCAGCGGCGCGCACGTTATGCCCAGCGCGATGTGCCTGCGACGATGCGTTGCGCGCAGCCTCCTGCGCCAACGCCAGTCTCGAGATCGTGCCCATTCAACTCAATCCAGAGGCCACCCACATCAATCTAACTCGCAACTCTATCAACAACCTTCTCTACACCTTCAATTTCTACACTCAGCTCATTGTACTCGATATATCGTACAACAAAATTCAAGATTTAGGTAGTAAAAATTTTGAAAACAATCTGGAGATGATCCATCTCAACCTGAGCCATAACTCTCTAAAGCGACTAGATGAAGAAACTTTCATTGGATTAAAAAGACTCCTTGATTTAGACTTGTCTGACAATGAAATATCGTCAATACACGCACAAACTTTCAAAGATTTATCTGTGTTGGAACGGCTCGATTTGTCAAACAATAGGCTAGTGAGCTTTGAACCGGATAGTTTCGAGCCTCTGTCATCGTTGAAGATCTTATCGCTCAAAAACAATTCCATATTGGACATACCGTCTGCTAATCTCTTTTACGTCGTACGACTGGAGTACTTAGACTTGTCAGAAAATTTAATACAACAAGTCTCAAGGCATGGTATACCATATTTAAAGGAATTGAAACATTTAGACTTGAATAGCAATATAATAGAAATAATAGATCAATTAGGGTTCCATAATTTACCTTCACTGCGTCATTTGGACCTAAGTGATAACAATATGACTGCAGTTCCAACATCAGCTCTTGCGAAATTATCGAACTTAACACATTTATATCTCAGTGGCAACTTTATTCAGAATGTTACAGCCCTATGCTTCCAAAGTCTATTTCATTTGAAACATTTGCATCTTAGTAGACTTTACGATCTTGAGAAGATCGACTCTAGGGCTTTTGTCGATAACATTAACTTGCAAAAAATATGGATGAATGAAAATGTAAAAGTGGGAGAAGTACCTCCAAGACTGTTCCACGGTAATCCTAAACTTACTCACATTTACATGAAAAACAATGCCCTGGAGACACTTGAAGCGTCCCATTTTCCTATAGACAGCCTGCAAGAGCTGGAGATATCTGGAAATCCGTTCGTATGTAATTGCTCACTTTTATGGCTATGGAAATTAGGAATGGAGTGTGAAGTCAGCAGTAGAGAGACAGGAAACACAAGTGCCATATTGAAGATAGACTATGAATCTGTGAAGTGTGCTGCACCTGAACATTTAAAAGGTGTATTATTTGTGCAAATTCCTGAATCAGAGTTCGGGTGTTCAAACGGTTGGGTGATAGTGGCCGTAGTGGTGCTGACTGTGAGTATAGTTATAAGCATTGTGGGTGGAGTTTTGTACTTCATGGGACCTTTGAAGAAATGCAAAGGCGATAAATCGAAACAAGTCATGAGTAGTGTCATGTTAAATGGTGATGTGTCCAAGTTAAGTAACGGTTTAGGATATACTACTAGAAGTAGGGAGCAAGAAAGCAAGAGAGATGTAGACCGATATCTGATGATCGGTTCGTCTGTGACAAATAACTTCCATTCTTTGAATCCTCCATGGCATAGTGTGGATAAGAATCCTTACTATCAGGAAGACAGCGAAGAACATATTTATCAACAGTTTGCATACGAAACGATCCCTCCTCATAGAACGCCAGAGAAACCACACATAGTGTACGTGTAACATAAGTTTTGTGCAAAGGACTATTTCGCGAAAATACAACCTTTGTTTCACGGTAAAGACGTTGACAGTGCATACACCCGTCAAAGAAACGATGAACATTGAACATGCAATAATGTAAATAGTAATACAATTAAACTGTAATATGTGATAGCTTTGTAAATAGACTTTGTAAATACATTGAACTGCGCAGATAAAGACGTTATAAAGACATTTCGATTTTGTACTTAACCCAATTTAGTCATTTTATCGCCTCTTTTATTTCACTTTAATGCATAAATTGACAATTTTGTAATTAGTATGTTTTGTTTACTAGTTCCTTGAACTTAATGGGTAATCCAATAATGTATAATGCTTTGAAAACTCTCGTAAATAATGAAATATAATGTCGTACTCTTGTAATTATAGTATACATTTCTATTTTCAGAATTAGAACACCAATATTTGAAAACTTTGTACAAAGATGAGCAATATAAAATAATTTCAAAATACTATATGTCGTTAATTTTATTGGAGACATTGTTATAGAAATATTAGTTGTATTTATAAAGAAATACAGTTCTATAAAAACCGTGGTACGTATATGATAATCTTGTTTACTTACTTCAATGCAATAGAATACATGAAGTAAAATAAATTTCGTATCGCCTCTATAGTGTGACACTATCATTTTAATTTTGTCTAAAAATAGATGTGTATCGATTCTTAGGTTTTCGCGATTGTTCATACGTTGGAAATGATACTATATACTATTTTTGTGAACTATTTCTTGATTTTTGTCGTGCCCACGGAACTTGTAAAGGCCACGAAACAGTGGTTTGTTAAAACCAAAAAATAATAACGCGATTTAAATCTAGAAAATAAGAGTTTCATTTCCAATGAACAGATGAGTACTTCTGTACTTGTTTTTGTTTGACGTTTTTTAGAAAAAGCTGTATTCTGCTACTGATACTTCTGTGGATTTTTTTCGTCATCTTTCGCTGTACGTTTTTCTTTACAAAAGATTAATTAAAAATTATTCGTAATAGTGTTACTCTTTAAAAGAAATGTAGTAATTTATTTTACCTGTTTAAATCACCAGTTGCTCTGATGTAATGGGGTACAAAATAAAATACATGTTTATTGGCTATTTTTGTATATTAATTTCATGATACAAATAAAAAAATTAGTGCCGATCTTTTAATAGATATTTTGAAATTCATATTTTTATACTTAGTGAATATTATGCATGGGGTTGGTCGAAAAATTTTGAACCATGTTATGACGAGGTGAAATATTAAAGAAAAAGCTTACGTAACTGATTGATAGCTAAAAATACGAAAAGCAATAATACGTGTACCTGTTAAAAATTATAAACAAACTTAGGCCAACTATGTACCAAAGCGGAGAAGAAGAAGCTTTGTTACACAAACTTGTAGCATTTTGACATTTCCACGGCGCTTAGACAAAACAATGAAGTATTGTTGGTTGTTGAAACTAGGCACTGTTCAAGGGCCCTATTCTCGAAACACAAATTCCGTAGTGACGGCCGTTTTCTCACTATGGATAACCTACAAATATGAGTTTCGGTCGGGGCTAGAACTAAGAATGTATGATCTGTCGTTTCGTTGACGGACTTCGAGAGTAGTCCCGTAGATAATCCATAGTGGGATAACGGCCGCAACTACGAATGTCGTGCTTCGAGACTAGGGCCCCTGCTTCGCTTTGGTAAAATTAATGGACCTTAAGAAATCCCTCGATGCATTTAATAAAAAATTTTTTTGACCTACCCGTTCCAAATTGTAGCTGAAAATATAACTGCAATATGCCTAATAATTTTTATAACCATACGTAAATTTTCGTAACCAATACTTATTCAGTCGATGCTGCTACAGTCATATTGATAGAATAAGGCTATTTATACATCTTACTACTTAAAAAAACTTTTGTTATTGAACTTATTTAAATATATAATGCATTAAAACAAACGACAAATAAACAATTAAAAATTATTTTCGGATTTTTTATTTATTGCTTAAGATGACACACATTTTTTTTTTTTAAATGTTTTTACATGTTTAGAAATCTACGTATCAATGAAGTTGAATTAAATTTCTTATAGTACATTAGAAATAGACACAGGCTATATATATAACAATCTATTAGAGCAATCAAATGTTGATAATAAACGTATTATGAAGATTGATAAGTAAGAAAGTAGGTTAGAAAGTAGGATAGACTTTCAGATAATTATGAAGAAGAAATATTCTAGTACAGAGTACTAAAAAAACCGACCTCAAAATTTCGTGGAGTTACATCTGTTTGCCGGATTCATCCCCTAGTTTGCCATCCTTAGAGGTGGTATATTTTCTTCAAATTTAAATGAAAGAGAATCATCAAAGTCGGTTCACAAAAAGCCGGAGTTATCGCGTAACATACACACAAAAAACCAAAAAAAATTACACTTGAATTGGGACCTCCTCCTTTTTTGAAGTCGGTTAAAAAAGGAACTTTAATGATACTAAGTGACGGGAAGAATTAGTGCGCTTGGTGATAAGCGACACGCTTGTCTATGACAGTTGCAGTGCCACTCTGAATTTTAAATCTCGAAGATTTGGGGGGAACTAACACTGCGTTCGTCACCCTGAGACATAACTTTACAAGTCCCATGTACCTATTTGTAATTTCACCAGCACCCTTACCTTTCGAAACCGAAACGCAGTAATTATCATATTACTGTTTCGCGGCAAAAATAGGTAAAGTGCTGGACGAACTCTTTCACAAGGACCTCTACTGCTATTTGGAGGTAGATATATATATAATCATTTAATTTTTGATGAAAATAGAATAAAAGAAATGACTACGCAGTTTATGGAAAGAGTCCATCTTTGTTTTGTAGCAAATTCAACAGATTTTACAAACATCAATAAAAACAATATACAATCATATTCATAAACTTGTAATACTATATAATAAGGCACATTTACCGATTAACAATGATTCACTTTTCGAGTAAAATGAAATACTGTAAACGAATTCACGTTAACGAATATATCTATCCGAAACAAGTTGATTATGATTAAAGTAATTCGATTCACTCAATGTCGATTTACAGACAATTTCAGCGGGAATTATTGGGACTGTTGATTTTTGATTGTCGTTAATTGAATTATGAGCGAGGTTGCAGCAGTTTCGGCTTCTCGCTTTGTAACATTACCAAAATTATTATATGCTAGATTTAACAAAACTATTAAAATTCCTTGCTACAAATTCAAACTTACACAATTTGCACAATATTCATTGACTTACAATTATATGGACGTCGGGTCCGCGCTAAAAAGTGTCCGCACTTTTAAGGCGCTAAAATCGTATACAGAGCGCGACACTCCGCTTTAGTCTTCATTTGTTCTACAGACAGCGCGATACTGCGATGACATTACAATTTAAATTTCGAATAGGTTGACTTGGGACATTTTTTTCGTGGTTTTTGTATTAGACCCGTCGTCCATTTATTTGTAAGTCAATGACAATATTATATTAATATCTAGTGGCGCAAATTTCTCAAATATACTTAAGTGTTTATACAACCTCAAATGGCTTTGATTGATTCCGCATAACAGTGAAAGTTTTGAATCAATCACTTTGAAAAAAATATATAGTAAAATTGTGGATATATTCTGATTATTATATGGTGTGAAAACACGACTCCTAAAAATTTTCGCGATAGAAATAAAAAACACAATCGTACCTCGAAAGTCTACAAGAAAACAGCTGTATTCTATAGGTATTTTACATAGCAATATCAATTGAACTAAATAGAACACGTATAGTATACGACAAACATTTTTCAAATCGCTTTAATTTCGTATCTAAAAATATCAATTCTGAAATAAGGCCAGAGTTCCTGCCGCTTGACCCAAGCAAAATTAACCATATTAGTACGGGAAAAATTTTAATTCGAGCTGAGGTAGTATCGACTCTTAAGTACTACGTTAGTAAAAAAAAAACAAAACATTCTAAGAATGAAAAAGAAAAACACGCGTAGCATACAGTTTATATTTGAAATATAGAATGTGACCGTTAATACATAGAAAAATACATATAAAAAAACTACGACTCATATCACCATTAGCCAAGATGAACAACTTTACGCGCACCTGCGTATTATATTAATAATGTAACAAAAAGAAAAAGACACTCACAACAAAATATAATTGAAATTCTTTAGTACAGACAAAAGTAATGATAGGGAAGAGAAAAGGCTAAAAGGTCTTGACAAAATTGAAGACATATAAAAGATAGTGGATAGTACAAACCACATAGCGCCGCTCTTTCGTCAGCAGAAACAACTTTATGTATAACTGAAATCACAACACGAAAAGAAAAAAGTGAGAAAGGTATTAGCAATAAAATAATAAGAACGCTTCGATAGACGCAAACGTGATGACAGGAGGAAGAAAAAGTTTAAAGATCTTAATAAAATTAAAGACAGTGTCTACCTATCAAAAACAGCGGTAACACAAACCACACAAGCCTTCTCATTAGTTAACTGAAATCACATAAATACTGCCAGAAAAGAAATAGACGAGTTAGCAACAGAAGAAAACGCTTCCATAGACGCAAATGTGATGACAGGACGGCCTTAATAAATTTGTAGACAGCGACAAAAATAGCGCACGTGAAAAAGGTAAATACAGCCCACATAACCCCTCTTATTATCCTGTAAGGGGTAGTACACAAGGGAACAGACACGGTGTTACCTCAGATCTATAATGGAGATAAATGAATGTCAAAGTACTCAAATTATCATGGCCCTGCGCGGTTCAAAAGTAAAATTGCGTTGGTCGACCCCGTATAATGGAGTAAACGTGTATAACATTTATTTAACAATTAAACTTCGTTTCAAAAGCTTTTATTTAGCCATCATTAAACACATCATATGTGATGTTAGTGGCTTTTAATAGTAAATAATAAATAATATTCTGAGACATGAACATATGTGTGGACGGGAAGCTATTGGAAGTAATTGAATTTACATTATTATATATGAGTGACAATTCAAAGCTCCGTTTTTTGTAATAGTTTTAACAAGTCTATCTTGTCTGTTAGTAACGAACTACGTTGGGATCCTGAAATGAAATAATTATATTATAACGTATTATTAAGATACCACATCACATTTTTAGACATACTTGGAAACGAAGACAACAAAGCTTTTTCAGACTTTGTCACCGTTGTTAATTTATTGCCCGTAGGCATTATAATTGTAAGTCAATGCCCGTAGGCATAATAATGCGTCGAATTAATAGTTAGGATAGAGTTGTAGAGATGCAAATAACTTTCGGCAATTTCAAAGAGGTTAAAACACTGTTTAAAGTAAGTCTATAAACTACATCTATATCGTAAAATTATAAAACCGGTATAAATTTTAGCTGACCGACAGATAATCCGTACTTTAATGCCAATTCAGAAAGTTAAGTCGCAAGATGTGCTATAAAAATGCATTCACTTGTAAACGAAACGACTTTTTGACAGCGTACAACTCATATTTTGTATTTATGTCACTACAATCACCACAAAGGCTATAAAGTTCCCCATTCTAGGTTTACTTAATAGGGATCCATGAAAAATATACTGGTAACACGCTTCTTGATGAAATGCAGCTCGTGGGCGGAAAATCGAGAGTGATAAATGTTTTTTAGATTCGTGACGGCCGACCGTTTGGTTTAAATCTGCAAACGGATGGACGGACAGTTTTAATGGGCTCTGTAAGGGAGCGAGACCGTAGCATAAATTTTAGGAACCTTTTGCGCCGAACCATTCCAATTTTTGGAAATGTTCCCCGGCCGACGCGTGTCTATTGGCTTTTAATTTATTTGTCTGTCGAATGAACGCACGTGACGCGCTCCGGTTGATTGAATTTTTAAGTTACTTTGTATGCAATAAAAGAACCATTTTGATGTAGATTGAATGAATAATATGTTATAGTCCAATAAAAAATATTTTAAAGCTATAAACGTGGTACTATAATTACTTGTATGTATACTCCAAAATAAACAAATCCCATTTAATTGTCCACTTAATTTTTAACTTACGAAGTATTTATTTAATCTACTTAATTATATTTCTTTGAACGCCGTTTTTTGTTTCTATTTTTTACGATACATTTATTTATTTATTTATATCTGCGATAATCTTTATTTGACAATAATAAACATAAGACACAGCTCTATTCGTAATGCAATGTTCCCCATAAAAAAATTAAATTAAAGTTGTCGTGAACACACAAACTTATCACAATTCACAATTCGACAAACACCTCCAACACGTGCTTCTTACCAAACAAAACAACAATCATCACCTAATAAAACCGGCCAATCAAAAGGGGCTTCAACAAGGAAAAATAAAGGGCTTTTATCCGCTCCCTGAAAGACGCTTCAGCCTTTACAGGGGCGGTAAGATTTATTTCACGACGGCACTCGTTATGGCACCCGGAGGGACAGAATGCAGCCTGCAGCGAGGGGGACATCCTAACATCCTCCGCACTGTATATTAAATACCTATAAGCTCTTATAAGCGTAACCAGAGTGAAGCAAATCGAGGGCTCGTGTGGGCAGGAATTACACCGCATGATTTGTTGTGTTCTTGTTAATTAAAGTGTTTTGCTTACTGGATGTAGATTAAAATTAGTGGATTTGTTAGAGGGCGTGTTTGTTGTTGCGTACGTTTTAGAGTATAGTTTTGAAGGGGAATATATGGGTTTTGAAATGCAATTTGAATTAATTTGCAAGTGTAGTTGAAATAGTATAGAATGCACTTTGTAGAAAGTTGTAAAGCTACTCGTGTAATTTTAAATTGCGTGGGCCCCGTAGGTGGGTGTACAACATTTTAAACTTAACGCGAGATTGAAACTAACGTTGGTTCAAATTTCGTAAAGACTGTAATCATCTTTGTGTATTATCCTCATTTGTAATAG